TTATTTCATGTTGTGTTGATTGATCTTTGAATCTATTTAAGAGACATTAACATTAGTCAAGTCTTAAGACAGTGTGTAGTTCTAAATAAACCCCAGAAAATGCATCTTGAATGCATTAATTAGGTTGTATGAATCATTAAGATGGCTATGTGTAATCGGTATTTATTTACTATTATATCATACCTTCACTTTTTTTCTTTATTATAGAAAAAGAACTTAAATGTTACTTCTCTACGTATTTCATCTAAGCTAGTGTTTAGTTGCCACAAAGGAATATTTGCAAAAAATCTTTCATTTTCGTCTGTCAATCCCATTTCACCTCTGCCATACTCCAAGAGAGTAGGACCCTTCTCACAAGACATCACTGTAGCTTTCACTGTGTTAGTTACAACAAAATCCCCATTTTCCATTGTTACACGAAGATAGTAATCTTGGTCGAGTTTACCAATTGGTGTTACCAGAAAGTATATCCGGAGTTGATCTGTAAGATCTGTTTGTGTATAAATGTAACGTAGAATCCAAAACAAATGTTGAAACAACCATACTGGAGTGTAAGCAAATGTCGGCAAAGGTAACCCTTCTACATAACTTTCTGTAATGATGTTACCATTTACATGATGTTCCTTGTAATGATCTAAGACCTTTACAACTGGCATTTCAACAGAACAATCAAGCGCTCTACAAACAATAGGTCTGTAGCCACAGAACTCCTCATGATCATCATTACCTGGTTCCACAATTTCCTCACATCCATCTTGACTGTAGATACAACAGCGAGGCAGAGCTTCCAGTATATTCTTTAGACAAACTGGATTATCTTCTGTGGGCCTAAACAGTCCTTCACATGTAGGGCATTTACTTAACTTGGTGGTACATGACAAACACACAATATGACCTCTAGAACACAGTTTAAAAGGAACTTTTGCTGTTTCTAGACACACTGGGCACTCAACACATTTTTCAACTGTGGTTAAAAGGGAATCCGCACTTTCACTTTTATCACTCGAACTTGCCATATTTGTTAGAATGTTAACATAATGAAATGCACCACAGAATGTATAGTAGTAGTGAAACACTTGATGGATTCTACTCAACGAACTGGCCAACATCTGTGATAGCTTATCTCTTATCTCGACAGACAGATAGACAGACAGGAATTGTGACTGGCTGCTGGATAGCCTTATCCGGTATCGATATACACAAACACAATCGTAATAGACGAAACGATACAATACTGACACACAAACATTTTGTTCACAATAGAATGCAATAATGATTTGATTGGTGAATAGCAGCAGATGTATTGTTCATAATTTTACTACTCCTACAGTATTTCAAAAGAAAGACTTGACAGCCAATTTATATAAGGTAGCGTTCGCAGAGGCATCCACAAAATTGAGCGGAGTCAAGGGTTCATATTATATTGTTTTTGTTATACTGCAGTAAAAACATTCGTTTTTAATGCAAGCCTTGCGGGTGTAAAGTAGCATTTTTACTCTTTAGGGAGTAAAAATCGTTTTTAGCCTCTGCCGAGTAAAAATCAGCTGTTGTCAACACAGTTGTAAATTTTTATTGTAAACGATTGCATGTATCGAAAATATGTATAGATTCGTGCTTCGTAATCATTTTAACCTACAGTCTACAGTCTCTTCCTGTAGCATTTTAGCCTTGCAGATACATTAATCCATTCCCAAACTCAACACTGCTCACCTTAACTACTTCCTTCACCACACCCTACGTCGTGGACCTGTTTCCCTCTCTTCCCATAGCATTTTAGGATTGCAGATACATTATAGTAACTGCCAAAGACAGTTCCCACTTTCTGCACTGCTAGCCTTACTACTTCCTCCACCATTTCCTACGTCATAGACCTGTTTTCTTCCCTTCTCATAGCATTTAAGTATTACAGATACATTTATCTAACTGCCCAAACGGTTCCCCCACTCTGCACTGCCAGCCTTTACTACTTCCTTCACCACTTCCTACGTCGTGGGGCCTGTTTCCTTTCCTTCTCAAAGCATTTTAGGATTGAATATACATTAATCTAACTGCCACAGACGGTTCTCACACTATGCTCATACTTTACTACTTCCTAAGCCACTTCCTACGTTGTGGACCTGTATTCATAACTTTCCATAACAATTTAGTATTTTAGATACGTTAATCTAATTGCCACAAACATTCCCCACACTCCAGACAGCTCGCCTTGACTACTTCCTTCACCACTTCCTACGACTCGGACCTGTTTTCCTCCCTTCCCATAGCATATAAGGATTGCAGATCCCTTAATCTAATCATCATGAACAGTTCCCACACTCCGGACTCCTCGCATTTCCCACTTCCTTCACCACTTCCTACGTCTCGGACCTGTTTTCCTCCCTTCCCTTGGCATTATTGGATTGCAAATACCTTAATCTAATTGTCATAAAAAGATCCCACACTCCAAACAACTCGCCTTTACTACTTCCTTCACCACTTCCTACGCCATTGGCCTGTTTACCTCCCTTTCCATAGCATTTTAGTTTTGCAGATACCTTAATCTAATCGTCATAAACAGTTTCCACAGCCCGGACTGCTTGCCTTTACTACTTCCATCACCACTTCCTACGTCACGGACCTGTTTCTTTTCTTCCAATAGCATTTTAGGATTGCAGATACCTTAATCTAATCGTCATAAAACAGTTTCCACACTCCGAACGGCTTGCCTTGACTACTTCTTTCACCACTTTCTACTTCGGGGACCTGTTTTCCTCCCTTCCAAAGCATTTTAGGATTGCAGATACCTTAATCTAATCGTCATAAACAGTTTCCACACTCCGAACAGCTCGCCTTGACTACTTCCTTCACCACTTCCTACGTCGCGGACCTGTTTTCCTCCCTTCCAAAGCATTTTAGGATTGCAGATACCTTAATCTAATCGTCATAAACAGTTTCCACACTCCGAACAGCTCGCCTTGACTACTTCCTTCACCACTTCCTACGTCACGGACCTGTTTCCCTCCCTTTCCATAGCATTTTAGGATTGCAGATACCTTAATCTATTGGTCATAAAAAGTTCCCACACTCCGGACTGCTCGCCTTTAGCCTACTCCTTCACCACTTCCTACGTCACGGAACTGTTTCCCTCCCTTTCTATTGCATTTTATCATTGCAGATACCTTAATCTAATCGTCATAAACAGTTTCCACACTCCGGTCAGCTCACCTTGACTACTTCCTTCACCACTTCCTACGTCGCGGACCCGTTTTTTCCCCTTCCCATAGCATTTTAGGATTGCAGATACCTTAATCTAATGGTCTTAACAGATCCCACACCCCGAACAGCTTGCCTTCACTACTTCCTTCACCACTTCCTACGTCGCGGACCTTGTTCCTTCCCTTCCAATAGCATTTTAGGATTGCAGATACCTTAATCTAATCGTCATAAACAGTTTCCACACTCCAGACTGCTCACCTGTACTACTTTCATCACCTCTTCCTACGTCACGGACCTCAAGCTAGCTAGTGTCGTCATTTGATTATATTTATGATCCATACCGTTTCTGTTCTAATATCTGTTGAATAATGCTATCCGCTATTCCTTTATCTACTGCATTCAAAAGTCAACAGCTGATCATATGTCTTTGTTTTTGTTTATGTGTCAAATACTGCTTCCATAAGGATTACATTGAAACTTTGAGACCCAGTGGGGCGGATTACTGAGAGACTTTTTTAACGCCATATAGATGTTGGCACTCACCGATATGGTCTTTATCACTATGCAAAATTTGAAAACGATTGATTCAGCCGTCTAGGAGGAGTTTGCGTATTTCGAAATGCATAAGAGTCGACGTATAAGAGCTTCGCTCGCTCCGCTCAATGATTTTGTTCGATATTTAATCAGTGCAAATATCATTTGATCAAAATAATGCTTGTAGGAATTACGAATTCTCTAAAAATTGCTTTCACGTTTTTAGTTAATTTTCCTAGTAGCCTGAGGCAAAATGATACCACCTACCCAAAATATTAATATTTAAAACTTTTAATCCCACCCATTTTAGCCATGCTAGGAATCAATCAGGTCAGCTGCTATTTTTTACTTTCCCTTCATTATACATATACATCCTTGAGACACGTCTGTTTACAATAGAAAAGTTATATACTGTGCGGATGGCAGACCCAACGTTGGTAATGTACAGGGTGTCACTTAACTCTCTGGACATATGTATATAGCGTTCTTGCTTAGGCTCATCAAAAACACATTTCACCATAGGAACATGGATCTGTGGTGCTTAGTTTTCCGTCCGTCTGTATTTATTTGTTTTTAACAAAAACATGAATAACTTGAGATACAGCGTTAAGATGTTACGTTGTTTGGAATTGTTTCAATGGAGAAAAGTGGTCATGCATTTAGAAAAGAAGACATTTCTCTGTTATTATTTATCCATTCTTAACAAATAAGGTATCATTGATAAGTACGTGAAATTTACTAACTTTTTGTTTCTGGCAATTTTTACGTTAAGTTAACGGTTTTCGTAAAATTTGGCATGAAATATTTTAAATGGCTGCCATTTTTAAACGGTACATGATTTTTTAGTATAATTAAAAAAAAGATAGGTCTTAACGAGATAAATATGCAAAATCTCTACGCTGTATAAAACAGCTGGGACACCCTGTATAAAAGCTCCAAATTTGTGACTTAGGGTGAAAATACCAATGAATGCATGAATACAAACCAGTACCTATAAAAAAAAGCTTTTATTGATCCCTAAGAATTATCCTCAACTTTCCTGAAACAAGTTTTTTCCGTTTTTATTTCCAAAACACATGCTTTATCTATCACACGAATCAAGCTCAAAAACAAAGTAGCCTTTGACATTGAACCATCAACTATAGCAATGACCGCCGTCACATTTCGACTATCAAATTAGTGTTAGTCAGACCTCTGGGCTGCGGGAATCCCCCATTGGGCGCGCTCGCGCCGCGAATTCCCAATTGACCGGAGGAAAGGGAAGACCAGTTGATAACTAGCCAAGCCAGACAGCGTTGGTAATACAACCAGTTCGTGTCTGGATCACACAGTACACTGTCGCGGTGTAGGGTTCGTAGGTCAGTGTTCACTATGGCAATCCATGATGTACTCTGTGTCTGTCTCGCTGTCGCTCTGTTTCCCGCCGTTTTCGCCAGAAAGGGCGCGATGAGTCGTCATCAGGTGGAACTCAAGGAACACTACGAACATCTCGCCAAAGTCGCGGAGTTCCACTGTGACCTTCCTCAACAAAGACTTCTGGCTGTGAACGAACTCCTATCAGACTTCCAGATGCGCGGAAAAGCTTACTTTCCTGAGGTGAATATTTTAGCTTTGTTGTACGGTATATTATTCTACAAATAAGTACATGCAGTGTGTTTGAAAAATTGAGAAACACATTTTAAAACGATTAGGCTATATAATTTAAAAATATAAATATTTAAAATTTGCTGAGTTTTACGAGGATATATTGGCTATTTTATAATACAATAACCATCACACACATTATGATATAAAGGTTTTAATATAAATCTAAAATGTAAGCATGTGTCGAGTGGTGCTTCATTCTAAAAACATATAGATTGAAATGCCAATGCCACCAACCGCATCTCAAGAATTTGAATGAATCAAAACGGCGAAATGTAAAAATAGTAAAATCCATTAGATAAATAAAGTAATATCAATATGTACACATTGACAAGTCTTGGAGATATCACTAAGGCATGTTTAAGTGATAAGATAGGTCCAAAGAAAAACACATGAGCAGAAATCCACCAACATACCAAATACATTGGGAATGTGTAAGAAGGCCTGAGTTTGATTTAACCATTGTCTATTGGATACTGAAGATTTAACTAACCAAAAGAAAGTGTGTGATATATCAGTCTGAAAATAGTTTTGCAGTTTTGAAGCATAAATAATAACTTCAACCAAATGAACATTTTGTGAATGTAAAATTTATTTATTTACGGGACCACCATTTTACAATAATTTAAATACACATTCATTTGCTCAAGATAATTAATGTAAATAAATAATAACAATAAACAACAACAATGATAACATAATAAGATAATAAATATGACAACAATTGGTATGTAGGCCTACATTTTTTTCATTTTTAAATAAATTGAATATACAATTGAATAAATATAAATCTGAAAATGAATATAAATTATGATGTACCTATTGTAAATTTGCAGTCGACTATTTACCTATTTTAATGGAGTTTATACCATAGCTCTGAAAAGTTAAGCTCGTATTAAGGTACAAATATTTACAAACTTATAATTTTAATGATGTTAAAGTTAGGTTGGATTAGATTAGATTAGGTTAGGATAATATGTAAACATGGAAATTCCTCCTGCCGGCAACTCATCCCTAAGGAACATTTGTTGGGACCCTTTGAGGGCTTGGCGCAATTAAGGAAATCTTGGGCGCAATTAATGCACGACCTCCTGACGACCAGACGTAAGAATTTTTATAAAATCGTTTAAGCCTCTGAATTCAAAACCCAAAACTGTATGATCCACCTGCGATAACATTCTATGCTACAGTCAACACTATATTCCCACATCCTTTCCAAGGCTGCAAGTGTAAATTGAACAGTTCAGTTTTTATTTGTATTACTCTATGACACAATGTTATCTCTTTGTAATTGAATGGTTCTAACACCTGGCCTCATCTTCCAGGTGACCGTGCTGTACAGATGCGACCGACACACAGGGAGCTGCAACGACGGCGGTCACAAGTGTGGACCTCTCCACGCCGACACGGTCAAGATGCCGTTCAAGGTCACCTTCCTAGAGGACCAGGAGGGTCGCAAGAAGGGCGAGTGGACCATGGAGTACCATCCGCTGGAGAACCACACCTCTTGTGGTTGTCTCAAGTATGAAGTACCACCGTCCAAAACAGCCGTCCACTATCACTACATAGACCCGTCGCTCATGCCTCTCCTCCCACTAGACCCCGGCCAGAACACGCCGGGGAACACCACTTCGTACGAGGTACCCATGTACCCGAACACTGAGTTGGATGTGAAGATGGGAAACGAAAGTTTCCCCGGTGAAGAAGTGAGGCCTTCTATCTTCGAAATGACACAAATGGCTGAGGAAGTAAGAAAACCCGATGAGTACCAAGGGTTTGGAGGTTATCCTGGAGATTCTTCCTCCACCTCCACCTCCACCTCTACCCCCATCTATGAAGTACCTGATGTGGACGAGTGCGATAGCTGTGACCGTGATGCCACTACGATACCCGCCGACCTGCTCAGGTTCGGACAAGATAGTCCGAGGTCTGAAGCGTTCAGGTCCACAGATATAGACAGTCCTTACGAAACTCTTCTCAAACAAGCTTTTTCTTAGTTCTTTAGTAAATTGTTATTTATTTTTTGTAAACTTTGTTTTTTTCTTTTGTCTTCCCCTGTAGTATGACTTATAGAGCACGTATTTGTAGCCTCAGTATTTGAATTTAATTTTAAGATTGCTCAGTTTAATAGTACAAAACTTGTTTCTGAGGCAAAATGAACTCAGTGTGATAGGTACACATTTACCTTTGCAAGATTATGTTTGCTTAGAACAAACAGTTATTAGATGAACAGAACTACTCATTAACAATTTATTTGTTGATTTTAGCTCTACACAATAAAGATAAATTGACCTACCTTAATAGGTCAAGGTTGTCAAAAATAGCCTATTAAAGAACCTTTATCAAAAACTTTTTAGTCTCTTGTTTTAAAATCTGGCTCTGGTTAAACATTCAACTGAAGGAACAGCTGCTAAATTACACATTTAGACCATCCTACTAATATTATAAATGAGAAAGTTTGGATGGATGGATGTATGGATGTATGGATGTATGTTTGTGACAAGTGAACGCGAAAAATACTGGTCGGATTGGGCTGAAATTTGGCATGATGATAGCTCACATTCCCGATTAACATATAGGCATATTCTTATTTCAAAAATCCTTTCGGGCTCCGCCCCATTGGCTCTGGAGTTTCCCATGTTAACCTTTATGAGAAATGGAATTATTGAATCTTAACAGCTGTTTCAATTAAACAAGTTGGTTCTGTTCTATGATGTTCAATAGCATTAAAGTTACAAGGATTACCAACAGGGTGCAGCACTATTATTTCTTTTACATTTATGACAACAGCTAATTTGCAACCAAAAGGCGAGTGAGCGTAGCAAACGAACTTCAACCTGGAGGCGAGTTAGCGTAGCGAACGAGCTAACCTGAAGGCAAGTGAGCGCAGCGAACGAGCTCCAACCTAAAGGTGAGTGAGCGTAGCGAACGAGCTCCAACCTAAAGGTGAGTGAGCGTAGCGAACAAACTTCAACCAGGACGTGATTGAGCCATGCGAACGAGATAATCTTGAAAATTAAGAAGTTAAACGGGGCAAAGCCCGCGGGTTACAGCTAGTAAATAATATTAGTAAGCATGGCTATGGCTGGACTGGAACTTTGAAAATTGGCTCTAGAAATTAATCAAACTTGCGGGGGGTGAATACCTAAAAGAAATTATCGTTCTTTAATTGCCATTCGTTGGTTTGCTATTATCATCAGCTTTAAAATGACACCTTAATCATAAAAATCTGTTTTAAGTTGGATGGATGGAAAAAGGATGTAACGAGGAAACCCCTTATTGTATTTTTATAGATATTTGATGGGGTAATCGCTTATAAAGATGTAAAATAATTAAAATGACGAGGTTGAAATATTCTTCAATTAATTGTTACATGTACAGCAGATCTTGTCCGTTGGAGTAGAAAAACTTTACTCGATACACACTTACAACAAATCAATAATCTACACTTATCATAATCTTTATATTAGAAGATAACACAATTCAGAGATCTAGCAACCTACATGCTAGAAAGATGGCTAAGAGCTATAGCCAAGATTTTGATAACTTTAGACAAAACCGTTTACAGTCAACGGTCAAACACTTTAGTTAAAAAAATAACTTTATACTTCAGAGAGTTTTTAGAGTTCAGTATATCCAAAAACTACATTAGTGTTTATAATTGTACATGGTTATTGACAGTAATCTGTAATCATAGCACAATTGTTAAGTTTTGTTTAGTGGTGGACGGCTTACATGACCTCGAATCTTATCAAATTAATAAAAATGTATGCTTAACCACTTCAGAAGCCTTTTCGTAGCTTAGGCTTTTGGGGTTTGTACTTCAGAGGAATCTTACAAAGAAATTTATTTCATGACAATTATCATTTAGCTGGGAGGATATAGGGTTTGTCCAAAACTATAATTATTTTGACGGCGAAGTCAAGTATCTACGGACGATTACAACGTCTTCACAATGAGTTCCCATTGATGTGACTAAATTATTTTATTACAGAAAATGTAAGTTTATGTATAATTGTAGATCAAAGTATGTTTTAACTTACATGATAAAATATACGGCAGTATGAAAGAAAAAAAGTAAAACAATATTAAACATGAAATAGGACCAGTTAACCAGTTAAATTTAAATTATTTATGACTTTCGACTATTGATGGAAACATTTCGGAATTTAAACACCTCAGTATCCAAAAGTCAACGACTTATGCCTACAATGCATAAAGAACCACAAAACATGAAGCCAACACGTACAAAACATTCATGCAGGCGCACATTTACAATATCAAACATGTTTTACACGTGTTTTAAGTTCTAAAAGAGAAAGTCAGGTGTTTTAATCAACAATAAAATTAAGTAGCTTATTGTTTGCAACACAATACTGTAAGAGAAACTCCACAATGTAATCCACCATGTATGATGAATTATTTTTTTCCTATATAGGCTATTAAAACCCCGCCACAGCAAACCTGCAGACTGTAATTTCTCCACACAATATTCCTTCAATACTAGGCCTATGCTATGTTAAATAACAGAAGGATATACAATTAACAAAAAGTTTATTATTTTATTGAATAAAAATTAACAGGTAACAAAATTAAAAAGGCTACAATGAAAAGGACTGACACTGAAATGTGGGCCTACAATCAAGTGGAAGATTGAAATTTAGGCCTGTTAGGTTCAAATTTACAATAGTATAATTTAAACGGGCTCTATCTCAGGGCAGGGTGTCGTGCTGGCTTGAATTCAAAGATTGGATGAATTAAATAATGTCCAAATAATTAAAGTGTTTAACATACAACATTCCAACAATGAAAATAAAATTTTGATGTTGTCCAAAAGGTAAGTAGTGCAAATGTGCACAGAATTTACTAATAAGTGGGTTTAAAATAAGAGGTTTGTACTTAAAAAATGATAGTAGTAGTTGAAATTAAGCCCTTTTGAGGTTAACTTGAATCAATTATCATTTAGATTTTCTTGATGAGATAAATTTAAATTTAATGAAATCTGGACTTCTTCCTCTTATAGACAATTTCAGTTATTTTTTTTTATTTTTTTTACATTTCAACGGACAAACTCCATTTTTACATTCATGCAACAAAACAAGATGGAGAAAAAGATAACATTCGTAACAATAATATGGCTGCTCTGGCCTTAGTGCAAATCGTGAAAATAATGCATTTAGTTATTAGTTATGGCTTCCTTTTCTCTTCAGAGTCACTGTGAATGTTAACAGGAGTACATTGTTGAACACATGGTATGATAATGTTTGAACACTGCTCACTTGAATTTAGATTCCTTAAGGACTAATTTTGAATTGTATTTGATGAAATTTTGATGTATTACAAATTAAAATTTGCTCTTACAAATTATATAGGCCTTGTAATAAATATCCAAGTTGTGGGCTTTGTTGAAAAAATACAGGCTATGGATATTATTCATGATTTTTACTGAACATATATTAAGGGAGTTATATTATAATAAGTTATCAATATTAGGCCAGCCCTATCATTATAGATCAAAGATGACTTTCTGAGGAGTGAATAATGACAAAGAAATTAAAAGTGGCGTAGGAACAAAATTAAACTATTTTAAGAAACCTAATACTAAATAATAAATGTATGACATGGAATATTACAAGACTAAGCAAATGCGTAGGATTAGATTTTGGCTTAAATATTTCCTTAAACATGTCTGATTGAAAAGTTATTATCGATTCAGAGGCAAAACCAGTTATAAAATAAGTATTCGTTTATCTGGTTGTCTACAGGAAAAGAAGCTTCATGACATAACTTATCTATGTTAATCATTTTGGCCTTGACCCATGACTTAACATGTCCTCGAACTTGTGGCACGGACCAAGAACACAAACACGAACACGAACCAGAACCAGACCGGTTTGGTGGTCAAACACCACGTGACCTCATCACGTGATCTTCTGGACACGACTACTCTCAACAGTCTCAACAGGTCACAAGAATATCGTCATCCTCAGCTGTAGGCCCTAACAAACCCATTTTACCATAAAGAGTTGAACGAATTGGAAAAAAATTAAATGATTGGTTAACATGTTTAAATTGTACTTAGAATATTTCCTTCTTGTTGAAGAATAATCTCTTATTTTGCTTTTTGGACGTCAAGGAACCAAATAATGTTTTTATGGAAAACCTTTGATGAATTTGTAAACTGAAACCTAGAATAAGACATTATTTTATGGTTTAACGTAATGCTCGCTTAAGATCCGAATCAGAAAATTACCTAGAAGGTCTATATAGATGTATAATATACTAGCAGAGTACCCGTCCTTCGTACGGGGTTGGAATATAAGTATAAAATGCTTATTGCAGTTATACTTAAGCTTTGCGATTGCAATGGGTGGAGGACACAGTTTGATAATATTTGCTTTTTTAAATTTACAGTATTCTATAGTATTACACAGTATTTCTATAGTATTATGGTAGTATTAACATCTACCATAGCCATAATGTTCTACCATTTCACCAAACAATAGAGAAAAATAAATGATCAATTCGCAAAATATCACAAATTATTCATGAAATGAAAAACATAAACATAACTGTAAACAATCCTACTTTGACAGTTCTCATTGCGAATCACAGTTTTTTGTTGCTGCTTAGTTCAAATTAGCTGTTTTCATAAATGCAAAAAAAATATAGTGCTGCACCCTGTTGGTAAATCTTATAACTTTTTAATGCTTTTCCATATCATAGAACCAACTTTTTTAGTTGAAACAGCTGACTAAATTCTTTAATTCCCTTTAAATATGAATACTTATAAGGTTAACATGGGGAATTACAGAGCCACTGGGGTGGAGCCCGAAAGGATTTTTGAGATAAGAATATGCCTATATGTTAATCGGGAATGTAAGCTATCATCATGCCAAATTTCAGCCCAATCCGTCCAGTGGTTTATGCGTGATTGAACTTCAAACAAACAAACAAACAAACAAACAAACAAACAAACACACTAACTTTCACATTTATAATATTAGTAAGATTATATTATTAAAGTGAT